AATTTGGCAGCTCCTCTGTTGGATGAATATATATTTAGGATTGTTATACCTTCTTGGTGAATCGATCCCTTTATCGTTATATAACGACCATCGTTTTTTTATACCGTTTTTGTTTTAAAGTCTATTTTGTCTGATATAAGAATAGTTACTCCTGCTCGCTTTTGGTTTCCATTTGCATGGAATATTTCTTCCATCCCTCTACCTTGAGTCTGTAAGAGTCTTTACAAGTTAAATGGGTTTCTTGAAGACAGCATATATTTGGGTTTTGTTTTTATCCATTCTGCCAACCTATATCTTTTAAGTGGAGAGTTTAGACTATTTGCATTCAGTGTTAATATTGATATATAAGAGATAGTACCAGTCATCATGTTGACTGCTATCTAGTTGCTTTGTTTTTTTGCTTGTGTTACTGTTTTATAAGAGGTGTGAGTTTTTACTTTTGGTTGTTTTACATCAGTGGGTATTGACTTTTCTGTTCAGTGTATAGAACACTTTTAAGGATTTCTTATAAGGTAGGTCTAGTGGTGACAAATTTCCTTAGTGTTTGCTTGCTTAGGAAAGACTATTTCTCCTTCACTTATGAAAGTTACTTTTGCAGGATACAAAATTCTTTTCTTTTTATTTCAGGATATTATGGCAGTACAAACATTTTGGTTATGTGTTATGACTTTGCCTCACGTAAGCCAGGATTAGAGGCGTGCCCTTCCCCATGAATTAAGTTACTATGTTTAAGAAGGCTAAAGATAGAACCCCCATTCCCTTCTAGCTTGTAAGGTTTCCTCTGAGAAGTCTGCTGTTAGTCTGATAGGACTTCCTTTGTAAGTTACTTGATGCTTTTACTTCACAGCTCAAAGTTTTTTCTCCTTCACTTTGACTTTGGCCAGTCTCATGACTATGTGTCTCAGAGATGTACTATTTGGAATGCATCTTACAGGAGTTCAGTGCCCTTCTTGTATCTGGATGTCTAGATCTCTAGCAAAATCAGGGAGTTTTCCTCCATTATTCCCCCAAGTACGTTTTCCATGCTTCTTGCTTTTTCTTCTTATCCCTCAGGGATACCTATAATTCTTATGTTTGGACATCTTACATAGTCTCATAATTCTCAAAAGACTTTGTTCATTCTTCTTGATTATTTTTTCTTCATTTTTGACTAACTGGGTTAATTCAACAGGCTTGTCTTCAAGCTCTGAAATTCTTTCTTCTGTTTGGTCTAGTCTGTTTTGAAAATTTCCACTATATTTGGAAGTACCCTAACTGACTCTATCATTTTCAGATATTGTTATGTTTTTTCTTAAAATATCTATCTCTTTAGTGAATTCTTCCTTCATGTTGTGACTTTCGTTTGTTTGTTTGTTTCTTTGTGTTGGTTTTCAACTTTCTCATTGACCCCATTGAGCTTGCTCTTAATCCATGTTCTGAATTCCATATCTGGTATTTCAGAAATTTCCTTTTCGTTGAAGTCCTTTGCAAGGGAGCTAGTGTGATCCCTTGGGGGTGTCAAAGGAGACTGTTTTTTTCACAGTCCCAGCATTCTTATGCTGGTTCCTTCTCATCTTGAATCTCTTCTCTCAGCTCAAAAGTAATAGCTTTGTGATATTGTGGTTGGCCCCATTTCTCCCTCCTTCACAACTGTTCTCTTCAGCTGGGAACTCTGTTGCTCAGTGAAGAAAGGGAGAGGTCCCTGGATGGCATGCTTGAGTCCTTGTCTGGAAGACTGACCAGGCAGAAGAGGGACAGATGCACTGACAGCCTGTGATGCAGCTGTTCTCTTGTATCACCCTGTTCCCTTGTGGTTGTCATGGTCCAACCCAATACTGGGGGATATTTGTGCAGTGTGCTGGGTTGGTCTCCAGGCTGCTGCTGGAAGCTTGGGTGGGGTCTGGGGGTGTCCCTCTCCATGGAGGCAGGTGGCATGGGAGTTTGCTCTGCCCAGGTCTCCCCACAGCTGAGGCCATGGTGGCAGGGCAAGGCTATTTATATTTAGATGGTGGTCATGGGTGCCAGGGCTGTGGGTGTTCACTCTGTCCAGGTCTGATGGCAGCAGTAGCTGAGGCGCTACTCAAGTGGCAGCAGCAGCAACAGCACTACCCAGATGGTAGCAGCAGATGCTGGGGGCCATAGGTACCTTCTTTGCTCAGATTCCCCGGTTATGGGCAGGGGTGTATGCACAGCACCCAGTCACAGGGTTCATGATAGTGCCTGGCCTCCCCACTGTCTCCCTGGCCCAGCAGGGATGATGGAGAGGCAGCCACAGTGGAACTAACCCCATATAGACAGGGCACTCTGGGGGTGAGGGCTCGGAGTGGCGTCAGTTGCAGCGACTTGGGGTCAGAAGCCAGCAAGACCCCACTATGCCTGCTCTCTTGTGCAGTGCTGGTGCGGAGTTTCCAAGGAGCTCCCTGATCAGCCCAGAGTCCTGCAGTGGTGGAATAGCTCCCTCACAGCTCAGGTTTGAGTGTCCATGGGGGAAGTATGGAGCCCCGGGGTTTTCTCCTCAGTCCATTCCCCATGTGCGAGCACCTGGCAACCTCCGATCCTACTGAGTGGTTGACCTGGGTTTCTCCCTCCTTCACTTTAGGTGTCTCAAGTCGCTTCTCTGATGATTCACAATGTTTTTTCTAAGATGACCCATCTGTAGGTGAATACCTACTTGCAACTTTAAATCCTCTTCTGGAGAGCGGTGTGTGTAGGCTGTTTCTAGGCTGCCATCTTGGCCCCCTCCCTAGACTTTTAATACCTCTGTTGGAATGGCTAAAAGGCACTCAAACTTGAAAAGAAAAACCAGAACAATTGATTTCCACTGCTTCACTCCCCAACCTGTTTCCTCCACAATGTTTCCCATTCTACTTTTATCCTGCTGGGCAGGTTAAAAACACAGGAGTAATTCTTCTCTGACCTTTCTCTTTCTTATATACACATATACCAATTTAATCAATAACTCTGATTGGTTCCAACTTCAAAATGTATTCAGAATCCAACAACTTCGTATTACTTTCACTGTTTTAGCTCTAGCCCAAGCTACTGAAATTAAGATCTCTTGCTTGAATGACTGCTCCCTGCTTCCATTCTTGTCCCACTTCAGTCATTTTCCACATAGCGACTAGAGGGAACTTTTAAAAATGTAAGCCAGATCATGTGATTTCCCTGATTAAAAACCTTAACAGGCTTTCTGTCACACTTAGAATGAAATCTAAAATCCTTACCACAAAAATAACATCCTCCAGGCCACCATTCCAAAGAAGAGCTCTTAGTCTCAAACTCTAATTCTCCCTTCACTTCCTACATCTAATCATCAAAATTCATCAATTTGACTTCCAAATATCTACAACATTCTTATTGATTTTTTTCTCCATTTCCATTGCTATCTAGCCATTATTTCTTGCCTGAATCATTACTGTGGTCTCTTCACTCCCCGATTCCAGTCTTCTGCATTTTACACTCGTTATAGACAGAGTCAATATCTGAAGCCCATATGTGATCATGTCACTCTCGTGATTCTATCAGACTACTGCCTAGAGTCCAATTTGGGACATACAAAGCTCTTCATGATCTGGCTCTTGCCTCCCTCTTGGCCTTACTCCCATTCACTAAAATATACCTCCATGCCAAAGTTATTAAATGTCTTGTATTTTCCTGGAACTGCCTCTTCCCTACGCTGTGTGCCATTTTGGAAAGTCTTTCCTTCTCTTTTACCATTCCCAGGAAATCAGTTACCGCCTCTAACAGCATCAATGTATACTTTAATTATGTAATGTAACACATATATGGCAATTATTTGTTTATGGCCTATTGACTCCACTAGAGTAGAGTTTCTAACATGGGGTCCATGCATGGGCTTCAGGAGCAAACATGAGGAGGAACTGTCCATTGATTCCCTAAAATTGACTATACAACTTTGTATGCAAATCATATGCACATTGTCCTGGGAGGAAATTTCATCCGATCCTCCATGACCCACAAGGGATTAGGAACAAACACCCTAGATGGTAAGATTCTTGAGAGAAGAGATAAGTCTTGTTTATCTTTTTGCTTTTTTTAAGGAAAAAGGGCTAGTCTCTAATTCCTGGGCTCAAGTGATCCTCCTGCCTCAAGTAGCTGTGACTACGGGTGCATGCCACCATGATGGGCCAGCTTTAATCTCTTGTGTTTCACACATATCATATACTGCATAGAGCACAGTTAAATCAACTGTACACAAATGCTTGTGTACACTAGTAAATATATACAAGTAAATATGTAAAAGCAACTGTTTTGTTATTTGTATATTTTTTAGTCAAATTTCCTTAGGTCCTCCACCAGGCAACATACTTGGTACCCTCTATATTCCCTAAAATATTACATTTTCTTAAAGAGATTCTAAAACTTCTAATTCTCACCAATATATACTCAATGAATATATACTCCTCAAAGTGAGGTTTTAGCCGGTACCTTAGTCTAAACTTAATTTTTACCTTAGGTTTCTGCTATTTATTTGTTTTATTTTAAAATGTTGTACCTTTCTTTTAGTTACTTCTCATCCAGCCTGTAAGTGTAATTGTGGTCATTAGTCAACTCGATAGATTTTTATAATAACCAATAGACAGCTAAGTATCTATCAGGCTCTGTCTCTCTGGAAAGACTGGTATATTATTTCCAGGTTCAATTTACTGCATTGTCCAATAATTGGCTCTTTCCAGCTTTACCTTTTTTTCTTAGGAGATAGGGGAAAGAGACGTAACTTTAGTAACTACTGCAGGCTGAAGGAGCTCTATCTCACCAGCAAAATCAAAAGAGAAGTGACCCCTAGACAGTACACTAAGCCCAGCATTCCTACACAGTAATTCCATTTGAAAACCAAGCACGATACGTACTGTCAGAATAAGCAAGACCCCTTAAGTACATTGGGAAAGAGACAAAGAAATAATTTGAGCAATATTGTTTCATAATGTAATTAGGAAAAATAAACAAAAGAGAAAAAATGAGCTGTGCAGGAACAAACTATCCCATGTTAGATTTCTTACCATTTTATAGAGATCTGAGACACTAATCTGGTCCGAATCCACTACTTCAAAGTCCTTCCGAGGCACCAGGTCCAGGCCCAAATGCCTAGTAAAGAGAAAGACACTCAGCATGTCATGCCCTCAGATTACCCACGTGTATTTATGTGCCTAGGAACCCATAACTGCCATGATCTTGTGGACAGAGGTTCAGACATTGCCCCAGCAGGGACAAGTATTATCCAGAAACATCAAATTGTGTTTACCTTTGGTAAATGAATGAGGCTAGGGATTTTAAAGCTGACATAATTCTAGTCATCAAGCAGTTCCACTTACGATGGTAAAAAGGTTTCATTCAGTATTCATATTTATAAAGAGTGCTTGGTTCACTAAGGATGGGTTTTCTTTAGATCATCAACAAGTCATGTTTATTTTTCTACTTCTCCCCAGTCTACAAACATGTTCATGCTTCAGTCATGCATCACTTTAATTAGGATGAAAAAATTATTCAGGATCTAAGTAGATTTGTAATTCAAAGTCAAACACAAAAATCACCTCCTAAAGATACTAAACTCAAAGAGATACATGTTTTAGTTGAGTTTTATCTCATTTTCAATCTAACTAATACTGATATTGGTAAAGACTTGGCCATGTATTAGAACCAATATTGTAAAAAACATTAAATAGAAGATTAATCAAAGTGTATTACTACTCAAGACAGATCAAGAAGATCTGGTATTTTGGGCAGGAAGAAAGAACTAATGGTAATTAATGACTGATTAGGTGGAAATATTAGACAGTGAAAATAATGCTGGACATAGCCAGAATTCTTGAGTTCAGATATGGCCCATAATTTACATTCAACAAATTTTAGTTCCTTTCTGACACCCTAGGACAATAGCTCTAAACCCGGACTTCAATACAGTCAGAGGGTTGTAGATCCCTGAAACTGCTGGATGAATTCGTGTGCGTGTTCATGTACAATTTTTTTCTGAGGAAAAAGTCTGAACGTCTCATTAGTGTTTCAGAGATGCTTTGTGACCATCCTACTCCAAAACGAGGGTTATGAAATTGTGTCTGGCAAAAATATTCCATGAGATTATGGGAGGGGAAACATTTTTTCCCTCTTCATCTAGATTATGAACTATTTTCAGAACGTGCTAGCAAAACTAATTCTGTAGGTTCTTTCTGTACATAAAACTCTCACTCATTTAAAATAAAGTCAGATGTACACCAAAATGCAGATTTATTTTATTTATAATTTAGACCCTGTTTATAGGAAAATATCTGAAGATGTTAAACAAATTCAGTAAGATTGGTAAAGTAAAAATGGAAAATCAAACCTATATGAAGAAGCTAGAAGCAAACATACTAATAACATGCTAAAATGATAACTATGACTAAGACTTAAAATTTATGTGTGTACTTTCTCATAGGCAAGGAAAAAAACAGTTTTCTATTAAAGGATAAAAACTCATGTTTTTCTATTAAAAGAAACACTTGCATTATCCTTTAATAGAAAAATCTGAGTTTATAAAGAAACATTTTTTAGAACTAAATGCTAAAAATAACTCAGTTTTACATAATGAGATCAATAATAGACTGTTGGCCTTATCCACAATAGTCTACGGTTTTATGATAAAACTATGCCTTCAAATGTTTCATTATTGAAGTTAATTCAATTTAAATCTGTAAGAGATTTTATTTTTCTGTCACTGAGATCCTGTTTTCTTATATCAAAGAAAGACTCATTCCATCACCTCTTATTATCTATTCTTTTTTTTTCTTTTTTGGTCTCATAAGGAGGTACAAATGTTTTTGTTACATGGATACCTTTTATAATGTTGAAGTCAGCACTTTTAGTGTGCCCATCACCCAAATAATGTTCATTATACTTGTATTATTAGCTATTCTTAATTTCTCTGAAACAATTTCAGGCCTCTACCATCTAACACTTACAGTATGAAAAGACAGTAATGTCTACAGAGAACCAGAGAGAGCTGGAGCACATCCTTTCTACCCCTCTTCTCATAAAAAGCTATTTTAAATTATAAAGATTTTTACAGATATGATCTGAAATATTTAATGTATTTTTATATGTATGTGATAAACAGTGGAAAGATCAGAAGGATGATATTAGTATTTGTATTAGGAAACTAAAATTATAAAATTGATCTTTTTTTATTTAATTAATTGAGACAGGGTCTCGCTGTTGCCTGCGCTAGAGTGCAGTGGCATCATGATAGCTGACTGTGACCTCAAACTCCTGGGCCCAAGTCTTTCTTCTGCCTCAGCCTACCAAGTAGCCGGGACTACAGGCATGTGCCAGCACACCCAGCTAACTTTTTCTATTTTTAGTAGAGACAGGGTCTCACTTTTGCTCAGGATGGTCTCGAACTCCTGACCTCAAGGGATCCTCTCGCCTCGGCCTCTCAGAGTACTAGGATTACAGGCATGAGCCACCGCACCCAGCCAAAACTGATCTTTTAAAGCACTTTCCAAATTTTCCATAATCACCCTAAATTTTTTTAAATTAAAAAAGACAATATTTCATACATATTCTGTTAACCACTTGAGGTCCAAAAATATATATATGGAATAGTCTAAGTATCGCAATTAGGAAACAAAAAAAGGACTGAGTAAATCTAATAAAAATTAATGTTTTAGATATAGCAGCTTATGAAAAATCCAGACGGCATCGAAGTCAGCAGAGCTGGGATTGAATGTATGTGTTCTGTAGTAGTGCACCACACACAGTGATGAGCCTGTCTGGAGACTGGCATCTATGAAAAAGTCCATCTTAGCATTATGGAACTCTTAGCTTGCTTATCCAGTCAATCATTCACCCATGTACCCACCCAATCACCCCACAGATACTTTCTGAGGACCTGTCATGTACCAGAGCTGTGGTGTAAGATATGGGGAATGTAGTAGTTTTGAGTCAAGCAAATGTTCTTTTTCATCATGCTAACCCTCCCCTGAGAGCAGAGTGTTTTCCCTCTTCTAGAAGTAGCTACAGCACAGTACCCTTCAGTTTCTTGATTTCATTACCTTGAACAACATGAAAAGTATTAATGGGTGATTTGGTAAAAACAAAGGACAGTTCCTTCTGCTAAGATCATCTTCAATGGAGGAAGAGTAGTTTGCAAAAATTAAATTAGTGACTGTCCTCATTGGAAAAAGGTAGACACATTGCACAGTGAGAAGCAATACATGTTCATTGCAAACTTTACCCTGAAAAAGAGGTTCTTGGCTATTTATTCCTATGGTTTATTCCAAGAATAGTGTCAGTGAGTGCAGGGAATGGTCAACATGACCTCTGTCTTCACAGAAAAGGGAGGCAGTGCACCAGAGTAATCAGAAGCAAGATGTCAGACTGCCTGGTTTGTGTATCTTAGCTCTTCCATCAAACCATATTGTCTAATCTACTATCATAGGCTGTTGTAAGGATTAATCCATGTGAACCACTCGGCACAGTGCTTGGCATTGTGAATGGCTATGGCTTTTATAATTATTATCACTACATTACATCATGAGCCAAAATATGGCTTAAAGTACAGGGATTGTGATCAAAGAAATAGAGTGTCTAAATAAAAAACTCTTTAAATAGATACAATCAGAGGTGCAAACATCTAGGTATATCCAATACAGATGTACATGTGTAGGGCTCAGTTTTCTAAAATAGTCTAATTGCTTAGGTGAACAATATTCACAAAAATATTTAATACTCACCCATCATTGATCACTCAATCATTCATTCCAATACCTCAATAAATACCTATTAGAACCTACTCTGTGCTGAGCTCATGTTGAACCTGGAGACACAGCAGTGAATGAGGGACATACTCCTGACCCCACATTCTTTCATGTGGAGTTCTCCAAGGCCCTGAATCTCTATAGGGAATTCTTTAAATTTTACATTTCTTTTTAATGAAAAGAATATTAAGTATTTTTAATAAATATTCTATATTCTATTTTATCTTTTTCTTCTGGATTTCATCTAAACCACAGAACATATTAATAGAAAATAATTTGAAGTTAATTAATAACATACAATGGATACTTCTGGGCATTAGGACTTAGTTCTCTCCCAGAAACAGTTGAGAAAAAAATGGAGATGTTAAGATTTCTTGTGGGGAGTACCTTTTTCTAATGATTATAACAAAAAGAGCACACAGATAATAGCTATAGTAATGAAAGCACAGCATGTTTATATTTCTGTAACATATAAAAAGATATATCTAATAAAAGCTACCCTTTACCAAACATTTACTGGGCTAGACACTTTATGCACATCATCTCTAAGCACTACGGGAAGTAGACAGTGTTAGACCCATTTTATAACCAAGGAAACTGAGGCCCAGAGAGGTTAACTAAGTCACCTATTAAGGGAACAGAGATGGGCTTATCTCAAGCTAGGTCAGTCTCGCTCCAAATCTATGGTATTCCCACTATACCTGCTGCCCTTCTACTAATAACTATGAAAGTTAAGTACTAAGGCTACAAGTGATGGTAATCCATTCAGTCATATTAGTTTAAGAGATCATTCCATGTCAATACATCAACCCAGAAAGAAACTAATACTAGTTGGTTAATGAGTATCTATCAGGCATGAAAAGAAATTCACTTTATTGCTCAAATATATTCACATAGTCCCTTCTGAGTACAGGCACTGTAGTAAGTGCAGATTATAATGATGAGCAAAACAGATGTACAAAGTGTAAGAGAGAGTGTGTGTGTGTGTATGTGTGTGTGTGTGAGAGAGAGAAAGTTAGTCAACTGAACATAAAACTTGACAGAAGGATTTTGACTATATGTACTTTAAACATAGCTAAGCCAACCTAGACTGCATTAACAGGGCAAGAAACTGATCAGTGAGCACACCACCAGGTATCAGAAGAACCCTGAGACATTTTTGGAAATTTCTGCTCATTTCACATGTCCTAAAGCTAGAAAATATCACCATGCCCTTAAAGGGAAAGTACTGAGGCATAAACCTTTTTGGGTCCTATCACTGAGTGAGTACTTTCTGCACATTACAAAGTAAACTACTGCTCGTGTTGCTTACTCTGAGAGCAATTCCTTTGATGAAAAACATACACTTAGTGGAAAGAAAGGGATATGTGAAAATCTGGGGGAGAAAGTATAAAAGGGGTGGAGGGAGAAAAAAATGACAGAGAAGGAGAGAAAGAAAGAATAAAAGAACTTGAATTACATATTTATTAGTGATTCGTCTTAAATTATTATTCTAAGAATAAAATATTTCTTACTTGGGTATTTTTCTAAGGCAGAGATCAAGTAGGCTGTGTCACTTCTGAGTTAATGCAATTTTAACTTAGCTATGCTATATTTATTGTAGTGATGAATTAGAGACTGAGAAGAAACATAACAGCATCTTTACAGAAGGTGTTAAAACTATTAAATTATGCAAATCAAAACCACAATGAGATATCACCTATCCCCAGTGAGACTGGCCTCTATCAAAAAATCACAAAACAACAAATGCTGGTGAGGATGTGGAGAGACAGGAACACTCTTACATTGCTGGTGGGACTGAAAATTAGTGCAACCTCTGTGGAAAAGAATTTGGAGATACCTCAAAGAGCTAAAAATAGAAATACCATTTGATCCAGGAATTGCACTACTAGGCATCTACCCAAAAGAACAAAAGATATTCTATGATAAAGACATCTGCTCTCGAATGTTTATGGCACAACAATGCACTACGGTAAGGATGTGGAAACAACCCAAGTGTCCTTCAATCCATGAGTGGATTAATAAAATATGGCATATGTATACAATGGAATATTACTCAATTATAAGAAACGACAGTGATCTAGCACCTCTTATATTTTCCTGGATAGAGCTTGAGCCCATCCTCCAAAGTGAGGTAGCACAAGGATGGAATAAGCACCACATGTACTCATCATCAAAGTGGTACTAACTGAGCAACACTAAGGTGCTCACATTGTAGTAATATTCATTGGGGGATGGGAGGTGGGTATGGATAAACTCACAACTAATGGATGTGGTCAGCGTTATATGGGGGAAGGGCATGCCTCTAATCCTGGCTTGGGTGAGGCAAAGTCGTAACACGTAACCAAAAGGTTTGTACCACCATAATATCCTGAAATAAATAGAAAAAAAAAGAAAAGCACCACATGTACTCACCACTAAATTGGTACTAATTGATCAACACTGAAGTGCACATACGGAAGCAACATTCACTGGGGATTGGGCAGGTGGGAGGGGTGAGAAGGGGATGGGTAAATTCACACCTAATGGGTGCAGTGCACACTGTCTAGGGGATGGGCAAGCTTGTAGCTCTGACTCAGGCAATGCAAAGGCAATATATGTAACCAAAGTATTTGTAGCCCCGTAATATTCTGACATTTAAAAATAAATCTTAAAAAAAAGCAAAAAAAGATTTAAGGCAGAAAAAATAACCCAGTGCAGATCATATTAGTAATTATTATTCCTAGTTTTTTTTTTTTTTTTTTTTCAGCAAATTATGGGTGTACAGATGTTTAGGTTACGTGTGTTGCCCTTGGTTCCCCGCCCCCACCGAAGTCCGTGTTTCAAATATGTCCATCCTTCGGGTAGTGCGCATTGCACTCCTGTCCTAGTTTTTAAAACTATATATTCATGCTTGATTATATGCTACTCTGCTATCCTTTGTGAATATTTTTGTTAATTTTATTATGTTCATTAATAAAATTCTGTAATTTAAGAGAATGTCATTGTTTCAGCTGTATGCTGAAATAATTTGGGTGTGAAGAAATGGCATTGTATTTGCAACTTGTTTTCAGATAGTTCAGCAGAAAATAAGTACACACATGCATACATAAATGACAAAAATACGGCAAAACTAATTGAATATATTTGTCCTATCTAAAAACATTTTGAGGTACTACTGAACAATTTATAATTTTCAGCCACTTTCAATTAATTTTTCTCCACTGTTTTATGAAAATTTGGGAAAATAATGTGAATTGCAAAAGAGAGTAGACTTGACATTAACTGTGAAGGATGGGGCAGGATTAAGCTAAAGAGAAAGGAGCGGTTTAAGAGTGTTCCAGCTTAGAAAACAAACAAAACACCCATAAATGAATGAATGAATGAATGAATGAATGAATGAAGCAGGCAAGCAAGCAAGCAAGCTCCACAGCCTATTCCTATCCTCCATGATTCCAGGAGGTACAGGGCAAACTGGCTCCCTCATTAACTGAGGTTTCTTCCACATACACTGGTTTCCTCCACATATACTGGGCTTCCTCTGTCATTAATCTTCCATTTACTTTCTACCTTCCAGGATTGGGTTCATAAATCTCATTTATGAATCTCCTCTCATTCTTTTTGTTCTCTATCATTTCAAAGATGTCTTATAAGGATAAGGAGCTAAAGACACATATTCAAATATACATAAAGTATATGTATATCTTAAGTAGGAGGCAACCTGGTTAATTCAAAGTTCAATGGACCCAAATTTTAAGAGAATGAGAAAAAAGCACCTGAAAATTATAACAATTATTAAATATAGGAAGAAATAAATCTGAATACTATCTATCCTAACTTCCCATGCCAGAGTCTTAGAATTTTACTTGTATGGCAACAGCAAATCATCATACCTATTGTATAAATGCAGAACTATTATTGAATGACAAGGTAGTTAAGAATATTCTGAAGTACAAATGGAGACAGTTCTCATTTGTAGATTATGCTTATTCAGATTCACTGTATACCTACAAAATGTAAAGGATACCAAATTCACATTTTTAAAAAGCACTGATTAGGAGGAGGTCTAGAATCAAGAAACTGAGCTGGAAGAAGCCCCAGAGGATTCTTTAATTACAATTCTTTAATTCTTATTTTCCAGAAATGAAAATGGAGTGTGAGTTTCACTGACTAGAACAAGTGTCCTTTGCTAACTAAAAGAAACAACTGCTCTAGCAAAAATGATAAAAATTTAGTGGAGAATATATCATTGTCTTTTAATAATTAAAGAGAAGCTTTGTATAGGTGCAAACTCTATGAGGACTGAATTATCATAAATGAAAACTGAGAGATGCCTAAATATTCATACTTACTCATTACCCCAGTCCAGGCGCACGGTGATGTGCCGCTTAACCTCCCGCACCTGGTCCTGAGTCAGATGACCAGACAGTAGCTGCCTTCGCAGGTCAATTAGTTCATTCATCACATGGCGTAGTTTGTAGAAAAGATCTACTTTGTGTTTCTGAAAGGGCATTTTTGATGTTGGGTGAAATACAAAAGGAATATGGAAAGGGAATGAAAAGAAAAAGAGAAAGAGTTAAACTGTGAAAAGTGCTCATTTCTCTGAATCACTAAGGCAATTTGTAAAAAGAAGTTTATTTAAAAATCTTAAAGTCTTTAGTTCCTACTGTCTAAAAATTGCTACATAGTGACATCTAACAAAGTAACAACTGATCTGGATCATGCAAAAGTGCCATTTATCTCTACTCCATCCTGGACTATTCATTTTCTAGTAAAACAAAGTTACTAAATTTAATCAGAACAGAAAGTTATACAGGAGTCCACAGCTGTTTTCTCTGACAGAAGCTGCAATGTACATAACAGCAAAGATTTCAACCATCCAGCTGTATCTCTGGTTTCTCCAGGAGGGATACTCAAATTGAGATAGGAAGAAGGAGAATCATCTGGCCTATATTGAAGCAACTAAAGTTTCAATATAAAGCCACAGTCTGTGATGAGAAATTCACTCCTAGTTTCTAGGCCTCATCTAACTTTCTAGTTAGCTTTTCTAAAAAGTTTATGTCCCCAGTGTCATAGATTTCTAGTCTTTTCAGTTTAATAAAAAAAAGTGTTATCCGTTTAATAGTTAAGTGGAAATATCTTAATGAACTTAATTATGGACATTATAGTGGTTTTTACCTTACAAGAAAAAAATGTAAGTGCCCAGAGAGTAGATGCTTCAGAAATGAAATGTACTTAAAATACATAAATTTAAGAACTCAAGTCCTATTTGCTCACAAGTGCAATCTTGGTTTTAGAATCTTTAGGTTTCTGTTATAGAGGAGTATATGTAATTTTGTATGATAATTAAAATTCTTGGAATGCAACCTATTTATAAATAATGCTTTTAAAGGCAGATCAACATGCACAAGAGGCAAGTACCTATGTGGAATTTACCCTAAAAAAAAAAAAGTCTGTCAAAATAAGCTTAAGTCAGATGGTGTAAATAAAATTAACTACATAGCAAATTACAAAACAGTAGAGTCAGCTAGCGTTTTTAGGTGGCAGTGATCTTAGGATTAAAATGTTTGGAACATGATACTACTTAAATCACCAAATGGAACATGAGATTTTTAAAGGTCCATCTTAGAGAAATTATTTTTAACTAGAAGACCTGAGGAATCATGCATTCTAATACATCAAATAACTTCTTATCCTTTCTTCAGATGATGAACAGATAAAGAAAAGTTAAGCACCTTGATAGTACACAATGTTGACAAAAGGGCAGAACTCACAAATTCCTGCCATCTCAAAAAGCAGCAAGGCCTAAACAAACTGCATCATCTGGAAAATGGGAATCTTGAAGATAAGCAATATAGGCAACGTGGTATGTGCTTCCAACACATGCATTTCTTATTGATAAAACAAAGCCACATAAGTTCAAAAAAGAAAGCTGAATTATTTTCCTATCAAAGCATACACAATAGTCCATTGCATGCATGTATACACAAGCATTCACTCATTCACCCAATTAACAAATGCTTATGGAGCACGTGCTGAGTTCTATCACTTTGTTGTGATCAGAAGTCACTGCTGCAAATTATGCTGTGTGTGTGCATAAAAAAAAAAAAAAAAAAAAAAGTCTCTGCTTTCGTGGCACTTTTGTTCTACAGAGCAGACAGACAATAAGCAAATAAATAATTAGCAGTAGTAACAAGTTCTAGCAAGAAAAATTAAAGCAGAATAGGGACAGTGAGCGGCCAAGGGTGGGCTGGCTGAGATGTGGGAAAAGGTACTTCAGATAAGAAGTCAAGGAAAGACTTCTTTGGGAGCTGAATTTTGAGTATAGACCTGAATGAACTAAGGTGGCATCATTTAAATAAAACTGGGGAAGTTTTCCAGCCATAAGAAACAAATGCAAAGGCCTTGATATAGAAGTGAACTTGGCATGTTCGGGAAGAACAAGGAGGTCAGTGTGCCTAGAGCAAAGTGAACAAGAGGAAGATCGGTGATGATGCAGAGAGGCAGCAGGGACCAGATTAAACAGGGACCTTGTAAACCATGCTAAGGGCTTTGGCTTTTACTCTGAGCAAGATGGGAAGTCACTGGAGATATGGAGAAGAGTGATGTGAAATGACTTAAAGTCTTGAAAGCATCGCTCTGAGTGCTCTGTTGAAAATAAACCACAAAAAGGCAAAGAAGAAATGTAGGGTTTCCAAGCACAAGCCTATTTAGTGCAACAATTGACAGAATGATGGTTGCTTGGATAAAGATAAGAATGCTGATATTAGAAAGGGCTTGGAGTTTTGACATGTTGTGTAGGCAGAGGTGCTAGGATCTGCTGATAGATTGACTGTGGGATATGAATGGGATAAAGGATTACTCATTTTTTTCTGGCCTGGGAAGTACATCTGGACGAAGGAAACCAAGTTCAATCTTGGACATGCTAAGGCTGACATCAAGTTCCAACATTTACAGGTCAGGAAAGTGAAGAGTATCTACCAGAAGAAACTAAGAAGGAGTAGGCAGTAAGGTAAGAGAAAAAAAGCAGGAGGATATGATGTCACAAAAACCAAATGAAAAATGGATTTTAAGGACTTTGTCAAATGGATCGAGAGGTTAAATAAATATGGACTAAGAATTGGCCAGAAGAATGGACATTGTGGTGGCCATCACTGACCTGTACAGGAGCGATTTTGATAAAATGGTTAGAGTGAGTTCAAGAGAGAACATGAGAGGAGGAAGTGGAGAAAGAGTACAGATAACTTTTTTTGAAGAATTTGCAGTAAACAGAAGCAGAGAAATGGAGTAGCAGAATGGGGTTGTGTGGTCAAGGGAGGTTTTTTTTTTTAAATGGGACAAAATTTCAGACTATTTATTTGTATGCTGAAGGGAATGATCTAGCAGAGGGAAAATTTGATGATGTAGGGGTTAAATCCTTGAATATCCATAACAAGATGGGTCCCAGCACAAAAGGAGAGGGTTGGGTTTAGATAAGAGGCTGGATACTTTATATATTGTCACAAAGAGGAAAGGCATAGAACAAGGGTAATGACAAAGATAGTTGGGAGATTTGGTGATAGGACAGCTAAGTTTTTATTCTGATTGCTTTATTCTCAGAGAAATAAATAGATCATCAGCTGAGAGTGAGGAGAGTGAGAGGAGATGTTTGAGGTTTGAGAACAGAGGAAACAATGTAAAACAGTTTCTTAGGAAGTGGTAACTGGAATTGATACAGGAAAGGTACTAGTAGTTCAATTGTTAGGTAGTTTTAAGATTTGTGATCACTAATTAAAAGCGAGGTGGGTTTTTTCTCATCAAGTATAATGAAGTATACTGATATTGTAGCATAATATACATGTATGTATGTGCTATGGTCCAAATGTTTGTGTTCCCCCAAAATTCATACGTTGAAATCCTAACCCTAAGGCATGGTATTAGGAAGTGAGGCTTTCTGAGAGATGATTAGGTCGTGAGGGCAGAGCCCTCATGAATGGGATTAGTACCCATATAAAACAGGCCCAAGGGAGTTCATTCGCCCCTCCCACCACAAAAGGCCAACTGAGAAAGTGCCAGCTATGAGGAAGTGGACCCTTGCAAAACACTGAATCTGCCATCTTCTTGATCTTGAACTTCTCAGCCTCTAGGTAGGACTGTGAGAAATAAATTTCTGTTGTTTATAAACTGCACAATTTATGAAATTTTGTTATAGCAGCCCCAAGGAACTAAGACAGTATGTATACACTATGTATGCGTATATTTATGCATATGCATGTACATATACATAAACATACTATATATATATAAACACATACACATATACAATATGCCATATAAACATGCATACACACATACAATATCTATGCAAGAATACGTTAATGTACTTTAAGGCATTATACACAGTTATTTACTTTTTAAATCAGGAGTTTCACAGACTATATTTTCCAAAGGTAACAACAATATCTCCTATACCAAGTACTCCTTTGCAATAATGTGACTTTGACACTCCTCCAACATAAGGTGGAGTCTATTTATCCATACCCTTGAATCTGGGCAGGCCCTGAGACTGCTCTGACCAACAGAACATGACAGCAGCGAACTAGGCCAGTTATTAGTTATTAACTATTCTGGATGTTTCTGTTTCTTGCATTTTGGAATGCGTGTTCTTGGGAGGTTCCCTATCAGAATCCAGCTGCCATGCTGTCAAAATCCCAAGCTACATAATGAGGCCACAAGTAGGCCCTCTAGTAAGCAGTCCCAACTGTGTGAGTTAACAATCTTGGATGCCTAGCCCAGTCAAGTTTTCAGAGGACTATAGCCCCTACCAATATCAGAATGCAACACAATGAGAAATCCTTAGTGAAAACTGCCCAAATGAGCTCATTCTGTCCAGAAAAGAATGAAAGATAACAGTTGTTTTAAGCCACTAAACTATGGGTGGCTTGTAATGTAGGTAATTGAAACAATTATACAATATTTTTTCAATAGAAAATCAGTTATTGTTTCTAACTACAAAAAGATGGAAATACCCTACACCTATTGTATAAAGATGCACTGAGAATGAAATGGATCATATAATCAATCAGAAAGTAGCATTGTTACTCTAATGAATGTGATTACAATTTCTTTTTCTAGGCCAATCTAATGACCTCTTTAATCAGAGGCCCTACCACTGGAGGCTCCACCAATATTGCTCTGATACCATGCTGTACCCCTTGGGTTTATTAGCAGAAACGAGCATAAACCACTCAAGGTGAGCAATCTGGGAAACTAGCACAAGAGCACACAATTCAACTAGAATTGTTTTATGCCACAAGATACATGAATACCTCACTCAGGATAAACAATCCTTTTCTACTTAGAGACCCGCTCTTTAGTGGATTGAAATAACGGTATTATTAGGCGGGCATTACAAATTTTGTTTTCTGGCACAACCATCCCTAGTTTCTGTCACTGCTAAAATAAAAGCAGGAAAATAAAAGCAGGAAAACATAGAAAAGGAGGAGTCGGAGGAGAGGAGGA